TTTCATTGTTGACCAGTTTCTTAGTGGGCGAAGCAAGTGTTCATCCTTGACTGTTTTATAAAACAGCTTTTGGGAACTCTTTGTTCTCTGAGCAGGTTCACTTTCAAAGATATTAAGTCTTGGAAGCAGAGAAACTCTATGATTCTTGAAAGATCTTGGCCAAGCTCAGACAGGTTCCATAAACTGAACCTATTCAAACACTACTTATGTTCTTTTCATGTCCTGCATTCTGTCCATGTGACTATAGACCAGGCAGGGCTGATCGGTTATAACGTAATCTAGAGAAGAAGTGGTGTTGCTATATCTCATGGACAGGCAAGATGCTCTCAGCAGGACCAGGCTTTTCAATAGGCATTTCCTACATGGTCTAGTGTAAGAGAAGGCAGAGTTGTCCCTTGACAAAACAAGAAAGTGGGGGAGCATGATGTGGTGAGTCCTGCTGAACCACTACCTGCAAGGGTGATGGAAGACAGGTATAATGAGCAAAGGAGCTCGTGCCTGGTCCACTTTCCCTCTCCCAAAGTGGCTTATTTTACTTATTGTAAGTCGGACATGCCATTGTGGGGCAAGGCTCCATAGTCACGCTTACCATCTTCATTTTGCAGAGTTCCTGTCTCAACCCAGTATGGGCCTCAGAGGCATTCTGGGAATAGGAAATAAAGATGGTAGTTGCAGCTATGGAACTTGACTACACAACTGTGTGCAACCCCTCCCCCCATAGATGGTGACGTAAATCATTGCCATTGTTGTAGTGACCAGCACCATTGTCTGGAAGAAGGTTTACAGTAAGGAATGCCAGATGGCAGGTGCAGCTATGGAACTTGACTACACAACTGTGTGCAACCTCTTCCCCCCCCCCCATAGATGGTGACGTAAATCATTGCCATTGTTGTAGTGACCAGCACCATTGTCTGGAAGAAGGTTTACAGTAAGGAATGCCAGGTCTTGTGTTTCCTGACATGTGCCCTGTGACTTACATCAAGGACTGTGCGGTTCCTTGGAATCTAAAAAAACATGTGCATGTGTATGTTTTGCAGCCGTCTCCCTGACTGTTGTCTGGTTTCCAGTATTTGTTGGTAAGGGAGTATTAGTGTAACATTTTCATGCAATTTTCTCAGTTGTCTTGAAAAGTTTTTCTCTCATAAGACAAACATTTGTTTCCCAAAATGAAATTGAAATGAATTTTTCTGCTTCTTAATTTGAAGATCTCCCAGCTGCTGTTTGTCCTATCTTTCTAAGTATTCCATGAGTATTTGTATAAAGGGATGTCAGCGTGGAACATGTATAGGGCACTGTTATTCTTGAAGATTTAAGTATAATAGATGTTACTACTTCACCAGTACTGATTTTCCCTGTCACACTGTGTGTATAATCTGAGCTACTACATACTAATTTTGTATCTGTTCTTTAATTCACCTATCAGTGATTGAAATCCTATTCCATTATTTGTGCTGTGTAAGACTGATAACATCTGAACAGGATTTGAGCCATTGGCTTTGTCTACGTAATGCAAAGATTGTCTTAAGAGCTGGAACTCACTCTTTTCCCAAGTGTAGAAGTGTGACATTTGGAAGATTCTAATATTGTCAAGTAATACATGCAATTATGTATGTTAAAGACATGAAAATATGTTTTACTCATTTAAGGAAAATAGGTTGTGGACTTAATTTGGGCTGTTTTCCCATATCCCAATTCATCTGATAACTAGTTTATAATGTATTTTCATGTTCAATTATGAAACAGATGGAATTCTTTTTCCTTTGTTAAAATGTTGAGAAGCATGTGAGTGACATGACTTGTTTGCCCTCACTATTTAATTGATAGTCATGGGATGCTACATTGAATTCACAAAAGTATTGGTACTGTCCCCAGAACTGCTGGATTAAAATGATGTCTTTGAAACTAGCAACATGGTCTCTTGTGTTTGGCTTCATTTTGGAAAAGTATAGCAAGCAGTGATAAAAATAGGAATTGTTAGTAAGATCATTCATTTGAATATGTTGCTCTATCATAAATTGAATGGGGAAATTGCAGCTTGCCATCTCCTGGTTATTCCACATATTGACAATATGAGTTATGCTTTCAATCTGAAAAGGAGCATTTGTTATCAACTAGCACTGTCACAAACCTGCCATCTGGCATCTGTTCTGTATGTCATTAAACTGAGAATTCAGCAAAGCCAGTGAGCATGTCCACGTCACTATGATGTGTATATAAAGTCCAGATAAGGTTTGCAGTATCTTGAGTGAGTGGATATCAGAGATTTAATTTGAAACAGCACCCTTGTGGCTGATTCCTTAAGTCAGACAGCATAATAATTGCATGCTGTCAAATCAATTCTTACTTATTTTTTATTTATTAGATTTTTATTCTGACTTATGGTGACTCTTTCCAGGGTTTTCTAGGCAGTGAATGCCGTACTAGGGGAGGGAGTTTTTTGAGACTAGAACTCCCAGTCCCATAATTTGGTTAGAACCCCCTAGCCTGGATTATGGCACTGGGGAGGTGTCAAATGGCAGGAGATACAGCAGCCTACTAACCTACATGCCATCCCTTTCTTTGCAGCCTTTGTAGAGATCTGCTCCTGCAGACACCCTTGCAAGTTGCACGGAATCTTTGCTACCTGCAAAAGTGCAGCAGGGTGCCTATCAGAGGTGTGCAGAACCGGAAGTGGCGGCAATAGGGAGAATCCCGGGCATGGAGGTGCCTCAAGACCCCACTCTGGATCCACTGACAGTGCCAGCTGCTCCGGATCCTGGCCCACTACCTGTCAAAGCGCCAGCACCACGGCTGCAGCCGCCTCCTGAGGTTTGGCTGTGGGGGGGGTAGCGATCTGGCGACATGGCTTGTGTGCCCACAGAAAGGGCTCTGCGTGCCAGCTGTGGCACGTGTGCCATAAGTTCTCCATCTCTGGTCTAGACCCTAGGAACATCAGAAACAGTTACATACAGTGGTGCCTCGCTTAACGACGATAATCCGTTCCGGAAAATCACCGTTAAGAGAAAACATCGTAAAGCGAAAAAAAACCATTCAAACACATTGAAACCCCTTCAATGCGTTCCAGTGGGGTCAAAACTCACCAGCCAGCGAACATCCTCCATAGGGCAGCCGTTTTCGCTGCCTGTCTTGCGAAGAATCCGTCCCAGAAAACAGCGGGGAGCCATTTTGTTTATCCGGTGGCCATTTTGAAACAGCCAATCAGCTGTTTTAAAATCATCGTTTTGCGAAGAAGCAGTTAGCGAAGCAGGGAATCGATCATCGCAAAGCGAAAAAAAAACCCATAGGAAACATCGTTTTGCGATCGCTTTTGCGATCGGAAATGATCGTTATGCGATTTCGTCGTAAAACGAAGCGCTCGTCTTGCGAGGCACCACTGTACAGTCAAAAACTCTTTACAGACCACATGCCCCACTGACTATAGCAATAGCTTATGCAACAATATCGTCACAAAAAAAGACTGAACCACTTAATCAGCATTCTATAGAACAAGCAAAGGAAAATCCAGAAGGCTATTGCACACCTTGAACCATGCATTCAGAACCTCTGTGTGTATGTATAGAATAGGAAACCGTTAATGAGTGATAAAAGTCTGCAGATGATGATGTCACCATCTTGCATGGGCATAACCTTGCACAAGAAGATTTTGGCCTATGTTTCAAGGCAGTGTTTGCTTCATTTTATTTACCCTGTTCTATCATGAAAGGGGAATTCTATTTGGGCCACTCCTATTGGTTTCTGTAGCTGATGGGAGGTGCCTGAGCTTTATTAGACTCTTAGACTGTCAAGCAAAGAGAGACAGTGGTCCCAGGATGTAAAAATGGGTATCAATACTTTATTCAAACATAAGCCCAAGGCATTTCGGCTATTGCACTTTTAGCTTTCTTCAGGGGCACTGATGTTATGCTTATGTAGAATCTGTCTTTAAGGATATTTTTGTGGACAATCTCTCACTCCTTCTTGGAGTGACAAAAATATCCTTAGAGACAGATTCTGCATAAGCACAACATCAGCGCGCCTGAAGAAGGCTAAAAGTAAAATAGCCGGAACGCGTTGGGGTTATCTTTGAAAAAAGCATTGATACCCATTTTTACATCCTGGGACCACCGTCTCTCTTTGCTTGACAGCTTTATTAGAACCGTAGACATGTGAATCTGGAAGATATCCTAAGAGTCATCAACTGTTTGCTGATGTAGAAAATCCACAGCTAAAGCATCCCTCACAGATGACGATTCAGTCTCTTTTTAAAAACCTGCAATGAAGGGGCATCTGCTCCCTTCCAAGATAGTCAGCAAGTTCTTCCTAATGTGTAGTTGTAATTTTCTTTCTTGTAATTTGAATCCATTAGTTTCGGTCCTCTCTTCTGCAGCCACAGAAAACAAGCTTGGTCCATCTACTCTCGGATAGCCTTTTATATTTCCAAGTTGCTGATTTAATTTAATTAGCTCTCTTGCTGTAACTGTTGCTTAGAATTTGGGACGCAGAGGGGGAAGAAGGCTAGTCTGTTTATGACTTATGCAAATGAAGTGGTGAAAACCATTATTGGATACAGAGCAGCATTTTTTGTTCTACCTGTTAACACACAGTGTGGTCCAGGCACACACTCATGGTAATTATAGTGGTAGAAGTTGACTGAGCGGAAATGTCTGTGCTCCCTCTGTAGTTACACCTGCAAAAATGGCAGTGACCATGGGGTTTAATTTATGATTTTTCCCCTTAATACAGCTTAGAGGTGTGCAGTTTATTCAGACATAAGGGCGCCACTCACAAGATGTAGCTCTTTAGAAGAAAGAGTGACACGCTCTGATTTCTTATTACTGCTGCCACTTGCTTTTGCTTCCTGAGAAGAGTGGAGGGGCAAAGAGGTTGGTTTTTGGTCCTCTGCATCAGGTGGTATTTAGTGCAACAGCCTGTGCATGTCAATTTCGCACTCCTGACATCAAACATAGGGTTTGGTAGACCCTCAGTTTCTGCTTTTTCTTTCACTAGTACTTTAGCAGCCTGTGCACGTATATGGAGTCTCTCTGTGTTCAAATCCTTTACATTTTTTCAATTTCGCAGTCCTGACATCAACCATAGGATTTGGTAGACCCTCGGTTTCTGCTTTTTCTTTCACTAGTACTTTAGCTTCCAACCACTGAAATCTGGTGCAGAATAGTGGTTTGTCCAGGGGGGTGCCTAGCAAAGTGAAGGAAAAGCATGTCTGTGAGCACATGGCTGAGGCAGAGAATGTTTCCAGTATTATAATGGACCTCAATTCCTTTCCCTTACACAAATCACTTCCTCCTAACTCTGCTCCGAGTTTGCCTTATTTTAGTAGTCAGATATAGGGAGGAGGAGGAGGAATTTACTTTTGTTGTTATTTCAGTAGAGTAGCTAAAAGTGCTTGCATGTCTACAAAAAGTTGCTCTACCATTAGAAACCCAATCTGTCTTTTGGTCCTGCATCCTATATTATCTGCATATTGAACATGGGGAAGAAGTGACAGTGAGGCTGAGAGTGTGACATGCCTCAACCTGTCTGATCAATGTGTTAGCAGATGTGAAATTCAGATTAGGGACTTTGAGCTAGTTATTGTGCTCACCAGCATAGCTTTCCTTGGAGCATACGTATGCAAGCAAAGGGCAGAGCTAGAGTTTCTTAAATGTGGCACTTTGAACTAGATTGGGAGAATATGAAGCTTTGGAAAGGGGAAGGACAAATGCTTGATTAAGGACCAAGCTGTTAAGACCCTATTGCTGGTATCCTATTGAGCTGCTGCTGAGCAAGATGTCCCGCAGTGTAGTAAAGCAGGATTGTGGCATTTGCACAAGCGTTGCATCTGCATACCTGAAACACCTATATTCTTTGTTATCATTGCTCGTGTACTGGCGCAAGCAGCTCAGTTCTGTGTTGCTCTGATAGTGGAACTTTGATTTTCCGTTCAGCAGAAGTTGTTCAGTAGACTATTGTCCATATGACACTTCTCTGTGAAATAAAATTGTAAATATTGAAAATTAACATAACTGATATTATAAATTAGCTACTGTGTGCTCAGTTTGCTTCAACTGACTTGTAATCCAGAGAAATAACGTAGTAATTAGTATGTGAACAAATCAGAGTAGATAAAAATCAATGATTTTTTTAAAAAAATTGATTTAAATCATGATTCAAGTCAATCATGATTTAAAGCAAAAATTGATTTTTAAAATTTAAATAATTAAAAATCCATGTTTAAAATTTAAATCATGATTTAAATTGATTTGATTTAAATCAAACCCACCCTGGAACAAACCAGCTACATATCTGATAAGATATAGATAGATAATTCACAGTGTTTTCTAACTGAAGTATTCAATATACAGTGGACCCTTGATGTATGTACAGCTCGACGTGCGTACTTTTCGACGTACGGACTTATCCGGCTGCAAGATTTCCAGTCAACTTGCGGCCGGAGAATCGACCTACGGACCGGAAGGGGAAGGCGGGGAAAGCGCCAAATTCGAATTTGACACTTTCCCCGCCTCCCCCTTCCAGTGCGTAGGCCGCCGATCGTGCCTCCAGATGCCTTCCAGATGCCTTCCAGGGCTTCTCCGAAGCACGATAGGCTGCGGCGGGGACCTCCAAGAGGCCTCCCATGGCACTGGGGAAGGCCTTGCGGAGGTACCCCTCGCTGCCCATCGTGCTTCAGAGGCTTGATCAGCGATGAGGAGGACCTTTCGAGGCCTTCCCTGCTGCCATGGGAGGCCTCTCAGAGGTCCCCCGCCGACACAGGCTTCTCAGGGTGGACTGGGCCTACCGGGGGAAGCCCTCCCCGGTAGGCCCAGTGTACCAGGCTTCACGGGCAGTAGACCAGGCCTACCGGGGGAAGCCCTCCCCTGGTAGGCCCGGTCCACCCTGGGAAGCCTGCGTCAGCGGGGGCGAGGGACCTCCGAGAGGCCTCCCATGGCAGTGGGGAAGGCCTGTGGAGGTCCCCCTCACCGCTGATCGAGTCTCTGAAGCCTGGGGAAAGCCTGGGGAGTAGACCAGGCCTACTGAAGGAATCCCTCCCCTGGTAGGCCCGGTCCACCCTGGGAAAGCCTGCATTGGGGGGTACCTCCGAGAGGCCTCTGGCAGCGGCGGAGAAGCCCGCGGAAGTCTCAGGCAGCGGCAATGGTGGCGGCAGGGGACCCCTGGAAGGCTTCAGAAATGTAACGTCTTTTCATGTGCCTTATTTTCATTTTTTTGAGTATATATGTGTGGCGGTTCTTGGGCTGGTTACGAATTAAATGGTTTTCAATACATTCCTATAGGAAATGCATATTCGACCTACGGACTTTTCGACCTACAGACACCGTTCCAATATTGTACAGATTAATTCTGTAGGTTGAGCGTCCAGTGTAATAGACAGTCTGTTAATGCTTGTCTTTTCTGGATAGTTATGAACAAGCTAACAACAAAACGCTTTCAGGATATATTTTAAATGCTTTAGTTTATGGCTGTTTAATAGTTAGTATTTTAATATTTGCTTTGCTTTTCCTTTTGTGCCCAATGTGGCAATTGGTATATAAATTGATTTAATAAAACAGAATTATATAGTTCATTTATATAAGGAAGAAGGATTAGCATTAGTACAACCAGTTTAATCACTTTAACAACATTTAGCCTAATGAGTTTAATTAGTTGATTCTGTATTTAAGAAGAGCTTGACAAACCATTTTGGACTACATCTTCCAGTGTCCTCCACCTAGCATAGACCTAGGGAATGCTTCTGAGATTTTGAGGGTTATACATCAGAAAAGTAAAATTGGCAAACTCTGTTTTGGGGAAATCAATCCTAAATTGGATGGATTCACCCTGCTATGCAGTTTGGGTGTAATTTTGGATCTGGCATTGACCATGGAACAACATGTCTCTGTTTTGTCTTCTTTCAGCATCGGCAAATTGTCCAACTGTAACTATCGCTGGATGACAGGTACCTAACAGCATTGGTCTGTGCACATTCTCAAGAATGGACTACTGTAATGTGGGGCTTCCCTTGGAGCTGCTATGGAAGCTTCAGGAGATGCAGAATGTGGTGGCCAGGCTTGATTGCTGGGGTGATAAAATCCAATCATATCACCCCAATTCCGGTCCACCTGCAGTGGTTACTGCTCTGCTTCCATGCAAGGTTCAAAGTTTTGATACTAACATATAACATTCTAAATGGTTTGGGACTTCACTGCCTGTCAGAATATCTTCCAAGTTCTGCAGCCTATCTTACTCTGTCCACTTATGCCTCACATCTGTGGATGTCAACACCAAGAGAAAGCCCATAAGACATCACCAAGGAATAGGACCTTGTTTGCAATGGCACCATCTCTTTCAAATGTCCTCCCACAGGAAATGCATCCTTCAGACCTTTAAGAAGCTCCTAAAATGGACCTTTTTAAAGCAGCATTTGGAAAGATCCTCAGTTAATGAGAGAGAGGAGGAAAGAAAAAGAAGAAAGAATAAGAATAATAATTAGAATTTCTTATTGTCAATTTACTGCTGCTTGCACTGCTGCCTAGTAAGTTATTTATAACATTTGTTTGTAGTTGGGTGATTTTATAATATATTTGTCTACTTATACTGCTCAAAACTGCCCAGAGTAGCTGTTTTGCTAAATGAGCGGTATAAAAATCTAATAAATAAATAGCGAAGGGTAAATATATAATCTATCGACTTGCCCTTTGCTTCTGTCTACGATCAGCTTGGTGATTATGAACACTTAGAGGTTTCTAAAATCTTGAGAATATTTCTGTGTGCATGCATTCATATATTAAACCTCAAAAGTTTTGGTGAGGAATTTAGCCTCATGTCTAAAATAGTACAGGGGCCTACCTTGTAGAATATCTTTGGGAATTGATTGTCACCCTGGTTTCATCATTCTCAGAAATATAACTTTACTTTCTGTTAGACTTTAAGAATTAAAATGTGCTGAAAACTTAAATATGCTGTAAAGAAATGAATGTTCATTCAAAAGGGCCTGCCTTTTCTGTCTTACATCGGCAGCTCTCTGTGTCTTCAAGCTGTCCTCCAGAGAGTTTGCACCCCAGATCAGATTTTCAAGCCAAGTAAACAGGGTGGATTTGGTTTAAATCATGATTTAAATAAAAATGGATTTTTTTTAATTTAAACAAAAAATGGATTTCTTTAAAAAATTTAAATCAAGATCTAAATAAGTTTGATTTTAAAAAAAACAACCATTGATCTTTATCAGCTCTGCCAGCAGGGCTTCTTAAGGACAATAAGGTGAACCCACCCTTTCCCTGTTCTACTGATAAGAAGTGCTAATTAGTTAGCACCTTTAACCTTGAGTCCCCAAAGAACTTCAGACATAAAAAGATTTATTTCTTAATGATTGTCACTGGAAAAAACTCACTTTCCACTGGCTGGTGAGTTTTAATTTATAGAACTAATCTACAAAATTGAATTGCTTTTTTTCTGTGGAGAAAATAGGATAGTTTGGTGAACTTTCCATTCCACATTAACAGATATTGTTGCTGTGCTCTGCAATGGATTAGCCACTCTGTGACCTGGCAGAGAGGCTTGCCATCCCGCCTCCAGCCAGGAGTGGCTAATCCATTGTGGAGCACAGCGCAATAGGGAGACATTGCTGCACCTGTGGCAGCGGGCAAACAGTGAGTGCACTGCTTGGCCCCATGGGGTCGGACCCTCGTTATTTCCACCTGCGGGGGGATATTCGTATATGTCTACAAATACAAATACCCCCATCTCTAATGGTCACTTTGATAATCCACAGTGGTAAGGAGATAGCAAGATTCTTCCTCTTTCAAATTTTGGCTTACTGTAGGAATACATACTCACAGGCACAATCAAATACTGTTTGGATATGCTATAAACCTCAGACATGTGAAAAGTAAAGCAAGTGAATCAGAAATGCAATCTATACACAGTAGTAAGATGGCTTACTGGGAGCATGTTCTTATAAAGCTCATCGGTCCTAAAAACCTAATTGCAAAGCTATTCTGATTCCATTCAGGACTGAGCCACCCCAGATACTCCATATAGTAACAGTTGTATCATTGATGGAATAATTTATTTTGTTCCATTCCCCCATCAGCTGCTGTGATGATTGCAAGTAAGCTCAGAAAAGCCTAAAGGAAGTGGTCAATCATGCACTCATCTCTGTAAATCAAAATGTTCTGTCGCTATGGCCCTGCAAGCCCTAGTTTCACTACATTACCACTGAGAACACCGAGGATTAAGAGAAGGGCACTTCTGGAGATAAAAACATAAGCTAACTATTTTTCCTTACTACTGCGAAGCAAAACTGTTTTGTCACCAACTTTGCAAAGCAGCCTTGAGCTTTATGCCTTGAGAAGCAAGCATATTTGCATAGCTTGTGGAAATTTTTGCTCTTTTAGTATTTAGTGCCGTGTCGGTGTTAAAATTTATTAGACGGAACAGTTCTTTTTATTCAGAGTTAAAATTACACTGTTTGGAAGATAGGCTGTTAGGAAACCAGGGTTTCAAAGAGCTAGGCTATCCTTTATGGGATTAAAATAAGAGGGAAGTTCTCTGTATTTGACTGAAGAAAATGTAACATTTAAGAATACATTTAAACAAACACACGCTTGAATATGTTAAATATTTAATATATTCTTTAGAAGATTTGCTTTGACTCTAAAGTTTGCAACTTTGGATTTCTTTTACCAGATTAAGACTACAAGAATTCTGTCTGAAGACTCCAGATTCTTTCTCTTTTTTGCATGTTTGTATGTGGTTGATTAATGGCTGGAGATCTAGAATGAACAAAACTAAGCTCTCCTTCCCAAATGTTTTAGATATACTACCATTACGTCACAACTTAGTGTTAATGTGGTTAAAGAAGATAATACCAAATGTATTTCTTTAATTTGGCCTTTAACGTTCATTTTTGTTTACTTGATGCAGTTATTCTAATAGATATGAACATGAACTGTGATTTGTGCCGGTTCATTTATCAGCCTTCTCCATCAGCTGCCTACTCAAAGGACAGCGCTGCAGGAATCCCTGTCCCACCTCCTCATCTGAGTGGATGGCTGATGGAGGAGGCGGAAGACGGAAGAGCATGCTGCAAAAGCTGAGTGGATAGTTACGCTAGGGAGGCAGGGAGGGAAACACACATCACCTGAGGAGTGGGCGAGCGTGCAGGAGCGGGGGAGGGCACCATGCATGCACAAAACCCATGCAAGCATGGCAATGAATTTGGCTGAGTCTCCCAACCTAGGTTCATATTCATCTCTGTTCCTGATATTATGTGAATGCCCAAATTGACAGATCCTTGTATTGTTGTTGTTGTTTAGTTGTTAAGTCGTGTCTGACTCTGCATGACCCCATGGACCAGAGCACACCAGGCCCTCCTGTCTT